TATAAACGACAACAAAACCTATTCCATACTCTGATTTCTTTACAATACCATAGTATACCATATGGTATAACATGGTATAAACACTGGTACCATATGCTATTATAAGGAGAAACCGTTCCAATAGTGGTAAAAGTACTTACAGTGAAATACATTTTATAGAAAAGTGTATAAAACGACAACAAAACCTATTCCATACTCTGATTTTTTTACAATACCATAGTATACCATATGGTATAACATGGTATAAACACTGGTACCATATGGTATTATAAGGAGAAACCGTTCCAGTAGTGGTCAAAGTAAAAATGAAAAAGATTTTATAGGAAAAGTATAAAAACCTATTCTATGCTCAGATTTTCTTACAATACCACACTGGTACAATATGGTATTCTAAGGAGAAACCACACAAGTACTGGTCAAAGCCACTACCTCAATTATTCATTTGCTTACTGATAGAATATGGTATAGTATGGTATGCTATGGTATGGTAGTTGGTGTTTTTGCTTACTGGTAGAATATGGTATGCTATGGTATGCTATGGTATGTTATAGCAATTCTTCTATTCTGGATGCAGGTACATCATGTCGAGACATAGGGACAAATTTCGAACAAGGTGCAGCCCGACAAGAATCAATGCACTTTCAAGAACATTAACAGCTGAACAGAGGGAAAAATTGCAGGAATTAGGCCTTGATGGCTTAACATCCATCCAGCAAACAAAGATAAACACGAACTTTGCTCTATTCACAATGAGCAAGTACAATCCGATAAAGAAAGCATTCAAGCTGCCTGGTGGAACCTACATGAAGATATCACCAATTGACTTTCATAGAGTTTATGGTCTACCAATGGGTAAAAAGGAAGTGACGCTCAAGAAATTATCAGTGGAAGAAGCAGTAGACTATGCGTCGCAGGTCCTACTAGAACTAGAAGCTCCAGCTACAAATGGAAGGGTGAAATTAGCTAATGTAGAGCATGACATTTCTAATGCTCATACCATTGCAATATGGATCAAGCTGTTCTGGATTCTGGTTACGGGAGCTCTACTGTGCCCATATTCAAACCCTACTGCTGAGTTGAATGTGCTGGAGTACTTGCAGCCAGACACAATCAACCATTTCAAAGAATACAACTGGTGCAAGTTCTTCTTCGACTACATGAATAACGGGTTGACTGCAAACACCGTGTACATCAATGCAGATCTTCATTTCTTAACAGTAAGTATCTATACCCACAATAATTCCATTTTCAATTACTATACCCTAAAAGCTTTACAAATCCTAGTACATCAAATACTAATACAACTGTTTCTCCTTGCCACAAACAAATAAAAGGTATGCTTCATGTACAAGTTGGATGAAATGGCCTTCTCCACCCAGTTCCAAATCCCAACAGCAAGCTACTATGATGACACTGTTGTGCAAAGGAACTATGAAAACATAGTGAGCTACTATGGTGGAGAAGAACTCCATAAGCTGATGAAGATACAGGACAAAGAAGAGAAGATTGTCGACATTGACAGTGATGATGATGACAACAACACAGACCAACAACCATCAGCATCACTAATATTTGATTTGAAGATGATCAAGACTGTCCCCCAAGTAAGTATAAATTACCATATGTTACAAATTGTCCAATTCATACAACTAAAATACCACACATGAACCATGGTGGTAATATATGGTATTATACTGTATAATGCACATACCATTCAATACCACCATGGTAATATGTGGTATTCTACTGTAAATATTAACTTACAGACCAAAAATGACTAATGCAGGCTGAGAGAGCACTGAAGATGGTGAAAACATCAATGAAAGCTATGTTGCTATCAATCAAGAAGCAGTACAGAGCTCAAATTGAAGAGCTTGTCAAACACAAGGAAATGTTGGAGCAAAAAGCTGATCAAAACTTTGATGATGTGGAAGGAGAAAGATCTGATGACGTGATTATCGAACAAACTGAAGGAGCTGAGTCTGATGATGAAGATATAGAAAAAGATGCAAACCTGCAAGACACTCTGCAGCATTTTTTTGACAAGCTCAAAACAGACAAAAGGAAAGAACCCACAGTCACTGAATCTGAAGGAAATGATGATTCTCAACAAACAACAGTGGATCTAGCTGGACCAACACAATGGAAGAAAAGGAAGAATCAAGATGGTTCTCCAACAAAACCAGAAGCTCAACAGCAGAAAGAGAATCCTGCTGAAACTGCTGAGAAGGATACTACTGAAACTGCTGAGAAGAACCAGGAGGCCAGCAAAAAAGGAAATCAAGAAAAGTCAAGTGAAATGAATCAAGATCAAGAAGCAGATGACAGTGAAAAGACATAGTCAGATGTGCTTGTTTCAAAGGAGGGAGAAAAGGAGAAGAACAATGATGAAGAAGCAATACAGCCACCACCAAAGACTGCAGGAAAACCCACAGATGCACCACCAAAGACAGCCACCACCAAAGACAGGGACATACCATCTTTTGACCTCAGCCCATTCAATCCACCATCACAAACAGAAAATGTCAACATCACCACAGCAACAGCATCACAACAACCAGAAGAACCGCGCAAAAGAAGGATAGTGGTTAAGAATGTCCATGGACCAGAGAAGAAAGCAAAAACATCAACCCCTCCACAAGAAAAAACAAGCAAACAGTTGGAGAATAAACAATTCATTGAATGGTCAAGCTTGTACTCGAACAGCCAGGAGAGGCTACAGGAGATAAATGCATGCTTGGCTGCTTACATTGATGACCTGAGTACACCAGTTTCACAACCAATGCCAGGAATGGACTCATCAGCAGCAAATCAACCAGTTGAAGCAAAAGATGGTGCCCTAGATGCAATCCCAATTGCAATGATGGTTACACCACCTCAGACAACTCCTGATGAAGTTTTCAATGACATTCTTGAGTACATAAGGTGCAAAGACAACAAAATTGTCTCCGAGTAAGTAAATTTCTTAATATCAATTAATTTCTTAATGACATATGGTATGGTATGGTATGGTATGATATGGTATAATGTTGAACAATACCACATGGTATAATGTGGTATACTCTTCTGAACAGGGACGAGGTAATGTTCAGAAGAGAGGATGGAACAGGCTTGCTCAAAAGGTCATCATTGCAATCTGTTGACATAGATCAACTGATAACAAATGATGTCGTGGACTGGTATGGAGATCTGATGAACAGAGATCAAGCAAAAACAGGAAAAATCACCAAGTGGTTCTTCTCTAGTCATTTGGCAGTAAGTTTGTCCATATTTTAATGTACTATACTTACCATACCTGAATATATGATTGCTTTAACATAATTTCAAATGTACAGTCTGACTACAAGCTGGACATAGAAAACAACAAACCTCCACTAAGTGCAGACCAATACTTCGACAAGGTGGATGAATATATTTCTGACAAACCATGGGCAAAAGACCTCAGTTTCCAGAACTGTGACCTTGTAAGTAACACTACAAATACCATAAAATACCATATGGTATGACATCAAAAAACTATTCCTCAAAACATATTTATAATTGTCCATTAACATTCTCACTTCATTTATATGCAGTGGTTCTTCCCTTACTGTGATGGTGAACACTACATCATGATCTGTGTCAACATCAAGAACACAAGATTTGATGTGCTTGACAGTCTCCGCTACCAAGACTTTGACTCGACTTACAGACCAGTGGCAGCAAGAGTTGTCAATTATGCAATCAACTACATGAGTGTGTACGGTGGAAACAGACAAATCCCCTGGGAAAAGTTTGACTGGTTCAATCTGGGGAAGATTACACAGCCAGATAAACGCTCATGTGGATTGTACATCATCAGATGGATGCGCCACTGGGAAGGAAAGTACAAGACTTTTATGCAATCAGACTGGAAGAGAATGGATCTGATCAAAGAAGACAGGGAGTGTATCATGCTGGATATCATCCTCAATAAAGACAACCTGGAGCGTGATCGGATAATGAAGGCTGCCACAAAGTACTGTGCTATGAAGAATCAAAGCAAGTAAGGGAAGGGGACAGAATCAGTATGGTTACAATATCTACTATAGACATCAGCTTCTGAAAACAATGCTTTTGCAGACAACCAATTTGCTAGTTTTTTTTTATGTGTGTGCTTTTTAGAACAAACAAGGTATTCAGTGTGTTTCTTATGTGTGTGCTTTTTAGAACAAACAAGGTATTCAGTGTGTTTCTTATGGGTGTGTTATAACTTACATTTGAAACACTTCTTATTATGGTTATGTAACAGCCTAGTACTTTATCTTACCCCTTATTATTGTCACAGATCTAAGATTACAGTCATCAAAATGTGTATACCATAGTATACCATATGGTATAACATGGTATAAACGTTTTTAAATGCACCACAACAACATAGATGGTATTTTATGGAAACTGAACACAGCACAGATCACATATCTAACATTACAGTCATCTAGAATGTTTTTACCATAGTATACCATATGGTATAACATGGTATAAAGATTTTTACCATAGTATACCATATGGTATAACATGGTATAAGGATTTTTAAATACACCAGAACAAAACCACATGCTATTTTATGCTAAACTGAACACAACACTTAGCTAAGATTACAGTCATAAAAATGTTTTTACCATAGTATACCATATGGTATAACATGGTATAAACATTTTTAAAAACACCACACAACACCATATAGAAAAAACATTATATCAAAGGTTAAAATCATCCACTAAACATTAAGTCCTTCACATGTGCAGATCAATACTACTTCAAAACAAAACAAATATGCAAGAAACACATAAAAATCAACATCCTTCAACAGCTAATAAAACTCCACAGCCTTCAAACAACTATCACAACTTCAACTTCAAACTTTCTTCCACAGCCTTCAATTTCTCCTCTTCCAATCTGCTAGTCCTTTTCTTTTTCCTACTAGCCGCCCTTCCAATCTCAGCTTCTGTAATAGGTCGTTTCGAAGGCTTAAATGAATCCTTCTTAGGCTTAAACCCCTTCACATTTCGAACTGGAACATCACCTACAAATAAGAAATACATACTACAATCAATACCACATAATACCATATGGTATTCCAACATATTACCAGAAACAATAAAGAAAACCACACTATACCACATGGTACAACATGGTACAACATGGTAAAACAACTTGGCAGACAAAAAAATAACAAAAATCATATACACAAACAAAAGGGGGCCAAGGAACTTACTCTCACAGTTGGTCGATCCACCCGTACCAGCTGTTTCAACAGTTGGTAAAGCTTCACACTTCTTGATCAAATCACTCATGAAATCCATGGTTGTTTTATACAAATCATCATTCAAACAAACCCTACTGATAAGCGAAGCAGAAACAGCTGAAATATTGAACAGGCGAGACCGATACTTTGACGGAGCCTCAGTAGACGAAACTGCAAATCCAAAATTCCCACCAGTTTTTGTTGTCCTTGTCCATCGCTTCAAAATCAAACTAGAAGGGATGTGATGAAACTTCACATTGCAAGTTGTAGACCACAACAAATCATATCCCCTCAATTGATGCTTACACAACAAACCACTTGACTCCCACTTGCGACAAGTACACTTAATTTCACCATTATCAAAATCAACTATGAGCAGTCTGCTGTCAAACCTTGACAAGTCTGCTAACAATGTAAAGACATCAAAGATCTTTACATTCCCTTCTTGAGCTAACTCTGTATTAGGGAAAACATTGTATGAAAGAGATTCTTTGTACTGTCCTAGAAAAAGATGGAATATTTTTGGGGTATATAGATCAGCAACTTGCTTGACAATCGCACTGCTTGAAAAGCGACAATCAGCAAACGTAGAAAGTGCTCTGTACTCCTCTTCTTCTTCAGCATCTCTCTTATTATCAAGCATCCTATCAAAATGTACAAAGAATCTAGGAATACTAAATTCTGACTGCAAGTAATGACGAAGATTACTGTTGCAACACTCGCTTAACTGGGTGCTCTTCATACCAGCACCAAAATGAGAATTCACCCAAGCCGATGACCACTTCTCCCTCACCTTGTAAATACCTTGTAACCAACTGTGTCCAAGAGGTCCTTTCCCAGGGAAACACTTATCTATCATTCTTTTCCAATTATACTCAAAATCATCCTCATCATCAACATTGTACATCAAATAGCTAAGCTCACAAAGGAAATCCGAATCACACAAAGATCCCAAATTAACAACTGCATTCTGTGAGATATGCCATGAACACAATCCATGGAAAGAACTTGGGAAAACAGACCTTATACCAGCAGCAATTGCAGCAGCCTGATCAGTAAAAATAGACAACGGGCTCACACCTCCCATGCATTCCAAAAACTGATTAAACAACCACTCAAACGTTGCCGTTGTTTCATCATATAGAAGGGCAGCTCCAAACACAGTGAGTTGATGATGGTTGTTGAAACCAACAAACAGAGCTGCACATACCATGTGGTACACAGTGTTAAAAAAATGAATACCACAAAATACCACCATAGTATTAACAGATAACAACATAATGAATACCACAAAATACCACCATAGTATTAACAGGTAACAACATAATACCAAATAAAAATAACTATAATACAGAATAATCACAAAAATAAGAACACATACCTAGTGGTCGATACTCTTTATTCGTTCTGTATGTAGTATCAAAACTAACTGAATCCCCGAAAAAATGATAATCCATCCGCATCTTCCCATCTGCCCAAAAAATACTAGCAATATTCTCATCCACATCAACCTCTACCTCATGAAAAAAGCCAGGATCCAGCTTAGCTTGTCTTCTAAAGTGTTTTAGTAATGCAGTTGCATCACCATGCTCCATTGATGACGTCCTCACTGTCCGCAGGTGGTTCTTCAAATCATTTCTTGTGAAACCAATACACTTCCGACCACCACCAGCTGTACTAATTGCATTATACGAAGCAGTCGCACCTATACCAGCAGCATCATTCACATCTGCCAACAGTTTATACACAGGAGCCATTTTTCTATTCGATCTCATGTAGTGACGCATAGCCACAGGAATCATGTCATGGTTATGCACATCATACCACTTATAAATATTGTAACAATTGAACTGCTTAAACCACCTAATTCGAATATAGGCACCATCACATCCACCCCTGATTTCTGGAACATGACGAACATGAGCCTTCGCATCAATAGAACCACGATTAGCAGGATTATTCTCACTACCAATCCTCCAGCCTTCCTTATTGCAACAATACTTGATATAATAAACCGCATTTGAACCATTATTAAGCTTCGGACATGCCGACTGATGGTAAATCCTCACACAAAAACCTTTATAATTCCCATAATCCACATAAAATCTATATGCATCATCAGTTATAGCGAACTCAAGATTGTTCCAGGAACTTCGAACATTAGGATCAATACCATCAAAACCTAAACCATAAAAACAATGAAACATTAATGCTGTACAAACTATAATACCACCATAGTATCATATGGTAAAGTTTATTACAATCAAAACTATACAAATACCAGTGTAGTTTCTTATGGTATAACATATATACAGAAACATAAAATCACAACAACTATAAAAACAATCTACAACAAATAAAACACAACACTCATATGCAAAAATACCATAGAATACCAGTATGGTACTTTATGGTATAACATGGTAATATATGGTATAACATGGTATTGCACGGTATTGCATGGTATAAACATATATACAGAAACATAAAATCACAACAACTATAAAAACAATCTACAAAAAATAAAACACAACACTCATATGCAAAAATACTATAAAATACCTGTATGGTACTGTATGGTATAACATATATACAAACATCAACTTACCAAACACATTTAAAATTCTTACCTTCCGATTCAACAACACTATTAGAAGAACTAGATCCAGTATTAGATTCATTCAAAGAAACAATGGCGCCTTGATTGAGATCACTCATTGCACTAAAAAAGCTCAGTCAACCAAGAAGATTCAAAAAATTCCTGCACAAAACATAAATTCAACTACGGACAATCAACTGAACAAACTTATACAAACATAATGAGATCATTGATCACAAAGAACAGAAAACAGAGAGCACAAAAGAGAAAACGCAGATATATGGTATAAACTGGTATTGCATGGTATAATCATATATACACAACATCAAAAACAAATTACAGAACGGAATCAATGCGCAAACGTGAAATCCTACTATCACTACAAATTACCTCGACGGAGACCAAACAACGGCCAGCAGAAACTTCAACACAAACAAATCGAGCCAAAACCTCGAGCAAGAAGAAGAAGAAGAATCGCGTCCTCCACAGACCTTCTAACAACTATAACTCGCAAGTCCGCTGCCGATTAAGCTAAGAATCGCGTCCTCCACCAACCTTCTCGCCATCGACAGATCCTTCGGAGAAAAACTCTCGATTGCTCTGTTTACTTCTCATTCTCTCTCATGAATCCAATTCCAGCTCGGCCAAGGATAAACAAAAAAGGAATAACGAGCGAAGGACATAAATTCAAAAAATGGACAAAAATACCCCTGCCCCACCCCGCTCCGACCCCAGCCGTTAGATCTCCCCGCTCCAGATGGACGGCTCCTGTTGGGTTACTGACGGGTGCATAACCATGGGTTATGCACCCTATCTTGGACCGATAACTAGTACTTGACTACTTGTATATGCACTTCGTTTACTTCTGGGCATTGCTATTCGTCGCCCTAAAATACCTTATTCGTCGCCCTAACTTTTATTAAAATTACTTAAATATCCTTAGCTTAATTCTTATCTTTCAAAACCTATATAAACACTAAAACAAAGAAACAAACACATACAACTATGTTTAATAACAAAATAAAATAGCGGAAAAAATAAATTAATGAATTACAAGTTACAAATACACCAAAATAATGAAAAAAATGAAAAAATGTAAAGAACTCAGGCATGTTCGTACTCGCCGCTAGAAGCGCCGGAGATGGGTTTTCAACCCTTCCGGGCGGCTGGAAAAAAAAAAAAAAAACTCTCTGCCCGGCGAGTGCGAGGCGAGACAGAAGATGAAGGCCGAGCCGAGGAGAAAGGAGAAGTTTGAGTCTTCCTTCGCTCGTCGTTGGCGCCGAAGAAGAAGTTCGCTCGTCGTAGTCGCCGACCTCTACTTCCGTTCTCTGCCCAGCCGGCGAGGCCGATTTTGAGTCGTAGCTGCAGCCGTACTCTGCTTCCTACGTTGTCCATCATCGTTGCCGCCCGATTTACCATGGGAACGGACATGCTGCGAGGGTTGAGGTTGGTGGCGGCTGCCGGAGAGAAGAATCCACAACGACAGCGGCGGGGTTGAGATTGGCGGTGTCTGGGCAGGGTAACGGATTGTTTGATTAGGGTTTTGGTTAGAGATTGGGGTTAGAGGATAAAATTGTCAATTTGGTGCATTTTAGGGCGACAAAAATTGAATTTTAGGGCGACGAATAGCGATTCAGTTACTATGACCGAGTCAATTGAGTATATTACCACTTCAAATTATACGAATGCTCATAAACTACCAAAATATTTATAGTGATAGGTCCAATAAAACTAAAAGCAAGGAGACGTCGTACGTCGGAGTCGTTTACGACCACAAGCATCATTCGCCCTCTATAAAAAAAACGCGCATATCATTCACCTTTGACGACCACAACCAATTATCCCCACTCAATTGACTCCTCCAACATAATACTTCCTAAACAAACACACTAGCTAGCTAGTTGAAGACAATGGCACCGCCGCAATTCCAATCAACAACAACACTATTTTCTCTGGCAACTCTGCTTCTTCTGCTAATGCTAGCAACCGGCTCAAACGCCGGCGGCATCGCCATCTACTGGGGCCAAAACGGCCCCGCGGAGGGCACGTTGGCCCAGACCTGCGCCACAGGGAATTACCAGTTCGTCAACATAGCCTTCCTGCCCGTTTTCGGGCAGGGTCGTCGCGCCCCTGCCCTGGACCTCTCGGGCCACTGCGACCCTAGTTCGACAGGGGGTTGCAGTGGACTGTCCTCCGACATCCGGTCGTGCCAATCGAGAGGAACAAAAGTGTTCCTCTCGATCGGCGGCGGGGCGGGGAGGTACTCCCTGTCCTCCACCGTGGACGCCAGGCGGTTCGCGATTTATCTCTTCAACAGCTTCCTGGGCGGCGGGAGGCAGCCGGCTTCCGTGGTGGCCTCCCGCCGCCCGCTCGGTCCGGCCGTGCTCGATGGGATCGATTTCGACATCGAGCTCGGCTCGAACAGGCACTACGACGAGCTGGCGAGATTTCTCTCCCAGTTGGGCGGTCGGGGGAGGAATCGAGTTTACTTATCCGCGGCTCCGCAGTGCCCGTTCCCCGACGTGATGATGGGCGGCGCGCTGCAGACGGGTCTGTTCGACTACGTGTGGGTTCAGTTTTACAACAATCCGCAGTGTGAGTTTAAGCCGAGCGGTGGGGGGGTGAAGGATCTGGTGGACGCGTGGAAGAAATGGAATGGGATTCCGGCGGGAGAGATATTTTTGGGTCTCCCGGCGTCTCGGAGCGCGGCCGGCAGTGGGTTCGTTGCGGCGGGTGATCTTGTGTCCGAGGTTCTTCCGGTGATCAAACGGTCGCCCAAGTACGGCGGGATAATGCTGTGGTCCAAGTTCTATGATGACCAAACTGGGTATAGCCGCGCCGTCAGGTCTCGGGTGTAAGCTGGCGGCGGCTTGGAGAATCTAATGGATGTTTACGAGGGCTAAAACTAAATTGGTGATTGAATTGAATAAATTGGTGCAACGACTAGCTAGCTGTGTGTTAATTATTAAGCATTTTCTTTGGTTTCTTCCTTGGCCTATTTTTCTATTTCTTTATATGTTAGGGAGTGATTATTTTAATTTTAGTGTTTGGGGTTGCACTGCTGCGTTTTGGTAATGGTTCCTTGTCATCTTGCTTGTGTCTTCTCGAGGTGTAAACACGTTCGTTGGAATGCATATTCCTTTGGTGTAATGTAATATTGATATAACTGGCTGTTTGTTTTGTCTTCTGAAGAATGTTGAATAGCTAAATGTAGGGTTGTTGGTAGATGGAATTTTCGTAACATGGATTAAGGAAATGAAGAAAGCAAGGTTGAAGAATGTGTTAGGAGTAAGGCGGGAGTTGAGTAATTGCTTAGTGTCTAGTTAGGTTAGGTGTAGTCTATGAGTGTCTAGATATTGGGAGTAAATTAATATTCACACAATATGATGAATGAAATAGTAATTTAATTACAAATAATGATAAGAAAAATAACTCATTGGTGCACGTTAATCTCTTCATCTTCGCCAACAACCGATCAATAGCCAATGGAGTGGTCTTCAATATGAATTTATCGAGATGATGGCAAATTCATAAAATCATAGCTCAACAGCTCACAACGTTCTTGATGACCTATTGAAATTATTGATATAGAAAATTTATTGCATAGTGGATGTCAATTTCCTCCTTTGATATTGACTTGCTAGCTCAATCTAATTATACTCATGAGAGATTTAGGTGTCAACTCACTTTGTTGACGTGTTCCCGGTACCTAACTAGGCATGGAAGCCCCAGGCGAGGCGTTTTACTATTTCCTTGTGCCTAGGTGTGTCTAAGCATACAGTTATTTTTTGGACCATGAAAAAAAGCTCTCAACAGGGACAGGGTGACATGTAATTTTTTTTACTGATGTAATTGTGATGTTATATTATTATATTATTATTATAATATAAAAGACAAACTGTGAGACATAGTTAGTAAATACTTCGTTTAATATACGCATATATACTCGTACATATTTTATCGTTTTAAAATTTTTGTATTCATATTATTGTCAAACCGTTTCATTTTTTCCATTCATTTGATGCTTTCCATTCTAAACACGTATAAAACCCATATAACAAGTTCGAATGCCCACCCACATGAGGTAAGGGGGTCTTCATGCCTTAAACGTTTCCTCATTCGAAAACTCAGGTTGAGTAGGGGTAATCAAGAGGAGGATGTCAAGACTAAAGAGGGTGACACATCCAATATCAGGGCATCATCAGAGGAGTTAAGAGGGTGTCCGTCCAAGTCAGATGAGCAATTTCTCAAGGCAGTTACTTCTTGTGACTATGAATGAGAGGTGAAGATAACATAGCAACGGTTCGCAAAAATCACAACTCGAAACCACTTGTGGAATTTTATCTTTTTATCCTTTTCTTTGCAACTTTTAGCCATAGTTGTAATTCTGGAGCTCTCACTGAACCTCCATAGGAGTGAGGCTAATTTAGTATAGTCTTTGTCTCGTAGAAATCAAAAATATTGAACACACTTATTTGAACTTTGTTCAAAGGTGTAAACTGTGTTTGTTCAGCCATTTATATATTTAGAAGTCAAGGTGCAATCAATTATGTTCTACTCCAGTTTTCTAGGTGGAAAACAAATTTGCACATCTGGTAGACACGTGTGTTTGATTTGATGGCTCCGATGCGGAGGAATCAATCAAGATGGTGACATTCCAGTTGGTTTTATGGAGGAGTAGGTGGTCAACATTGAACTTGGTCAAGTATCAAACCATTCAAAAAATGGTGTCTATAAATAGGCGATGAAGATGATAGAGCAAGGGTTCGCAAAAATAGCAACTCGACACCACTTGTCAAGTTTTATCTTTTTATTTTTTTCTCGGCAACTTTTAGCCGTAGTCATAGTTCTGAAGCTCTCTCTGAACCACCATAAAAGTAGGGTTAATTTAATATAGTCTTTGTCTCGTAGAGCATAAAAAATACTGAAACACCCTTGTTTAAACTTTATTCAACGAGTTATGAACTGTGTTTATTTAATCGTTTGTTTAGAAGTCAAATTCCATTACGTTTAACTCTAGTTCTTTCTTGTCGGAAAACATGAGGAGTTTAACATTCTTTTGAGTTATGATTGGAATGTTGTATTGTTTTTGTGTCCCGTGTCTATTGAATTGGGACGCCTTGACTCTTGTCTGTCACTTTTCTTTCGTGTCAGAGCCTTGAGCGTCTGTCATCGTGCTAAACAAACTCCAAAACCCAGCTGTTTGAGCCTAGAATGTTCTAGGCGGTTTGTGGAGAACGAGCTGCGCGTCTCTTCCAGATGGTGGGGGACTCCAGGCTCCTGCAAAATAAGGGTCCGTGGGCGGTCACCCAGGACATCCTCCAATGCCTAAGTTAGAGATAGAATAAGAGTTTTTAGTGATGTTTAGAGAGAGAGAGAGAGAGAGAGAGAGAGAGAGAGAGAGTAGTTGAGTTACCATCAATGCCGATATGAATGTATTTATAGTAGATTGGCCTGGGTTCTGAGCATTAAATGCTATGTCAGGCGCCCTAGGTTAGTTCTTACTTTACCTAGACCGCCTACGGCCGGCAATTAATGCTCAGTCCTGCAGTGTTCGAGGCACGTATCCTAGGAGGATCTTCTTAACCTGTCACCAACGGCTCATTGTGTCAGGCGGCCTACTCTCCGTCCCATCATAGGGCGGCCGTCTGTCTTTCTCCTTTCCCCACGCCTGCTCCTTCCTCGGGCCCTTGCTGGGCCTCGCTTTCAGCTCTCCTTTCGGGCCCTGCTATGCTAGCCTCTCTATGGGCTTCAAGCCCAATATCGCTCAACTATGGGCCCAACAATTGCCCTTTAGTCGTGAAAAGCTACGGGTTTTGGCGGCTACTGTCTTTGCCATTGATAGTTGAGCGGTCACCTAGCCTAACCGCTACATACCTTCTGCCCCTAGCCGCCATAGACACGGTGACTTTCTGCTTACTAATCTATCTCAATGGGACCGCCATATGTCTCTCCGCGCTCTAACTTGATGCTCGTTTATTCAAGCGGTTGACTGTTGCGATAACCGACGGTTTAATCCTAAGCGTTTGCGCTGTCCACCTTCTTTTTGGATTGCGATAAGATCTACTCGTGATCAGACCGTTTGACAGCTTCCGAGCTGTCCCTTAATTTTAGGTCGCTGTTGATTACATCACGACCTACGTTGTTCACCTCTTTGCTCTTGTCGCTTCCCGCTCTATATACCTACGCGTTCCGCCTAAATCTGATCTGCCGATTCGTCTTCCACGGCTCCCTACGTTGCTGCATGCTGCGCCATGTGTCCTCCTTGAAATTTGGGCTCTGACAATGGGCAGCCCCACGTCCAATCGTCTGCCCGCCTTTTTGAATTTCGTAGAGTAGGGTTTTGCCTCGGTCACTCAACCGTCGCTTCACCTGCCCTCTTTCTTCCTATTTAAACTCGCTCCTTCTCCTTTTCCCAATCTTTCTTCTCTAACACTTCGATTTCCCTTTCTTCTGCTCTGTCAAAATTGCTCGGTGCTCCCGTTTTTCCCTCTCCTCCTACTTGCGAGACAACTCCGATTTATCTCCATCAAGGGCGAACTTCCTCGCTAAGCTTTGACGATCCCAGAAACGAGCGACGAGGAAACTCCGACGACAAATGGCGATCGAGTCTCAGAGCACAACTCTTTCCGATAGCCAAAACCAAAACCTCTCCGGCACCCTGACCTCCAGCGACGCTGCCGCCGCTATGACTTCCGGCGACGACAGGGCTTCCAGTGCTGGCGTTAGCGTTCCCCGGTCTTCTTCTAAGTCTGGGGGAGGATCTGGAGGACAGCCATCCGTGAGCCGCCAGGCAATCACAGGTAATGCACCTCCTCCTTTATTATGCGGTCGCTTTTAGCCTAGGTTCAGAATTGATTTTAAGGCGCTTTCCTCATGCGCGGTTTGCTTGGCAAGGCTTATAAAGAAAACACTTAGACGGTCTTTATTATGACCTTTTAGGAGTAGAACTGGATCTTGCTCCTGTCGCGGTCACGTCCGGTGGATGGCGGGGGGCGTCCTCCTTGGTGGGGGAAAACCTGGGTGACTTTAGCTATTCGGAGGCAGATAGTGAGCCGCCGAACGCTACGACACACGTTGCCCTCTCCTCTGATAGTGGAAACGGGGACCGCATTGGAAACGAGGAGAGGGAATTGTCGCCTTCGTTGGCAGTGTCTGACGCGCTGCCCGTGGAAGCATTCCAAGTCCTCCACGACACAACCTACCGTGTCAGACTCCATGAGGATATGTGGGCGATGCGGTCCCACAGAGTGCTTACAAGCAGGGGCCGCCTAATGACACGGTGTTCAAGCCGCATCAGGTGCTCCGCCAGCGAAGGCACATGGCCTTCCCGCTGACTGGGATTACGCGACTCCTTCTCCCATTGGGCGGTCTGGATCTTGTCCGGGTGGATGGATTCCGATCCACGTAGAGCACATGCGGATGGACTTAACCTTTCCCATCGATCCTATCTTGACCCGCACGCTTCTTTTTCTGAACTGCACTTTGGGTCGCCTGTCGCCCGGCATTATTTTCCATTCTATCGCCTTTAGGGCTGCCTGCGAGAAGATTGGGGAGACGCCGTCTTTCGACGCGTTTTGCCAGTTATACAAAATGAGGGGGTCTGATAACTGTTGGTCTTGTTACCGCCGGGAGTCGAGGGTTGGTATAGTGAGCGGAGCGCCCAAGCTGGACTCCCCCTAGTTCAAGGAGTACTTTTTCGCCCGCCCTAAAGTTTAATGGTATTCCGGGGAAGTGGAGCCGCCGACGGGCTTCGCGATGGGTGATTGACACGCTAAAACACAACACCTAACAATGGCCAAGTGTAACCAATGAAAGGGACTGCAGTATAGGCAAGTTTAATTATCAACCCGGGGTC